GGAGCAGTGACCCCAAAACTTGAAAAAAGAGAGGGGGTGAGGAAGAGTTTAGCCATCGCATTAAGCATTTGTTTTAAATAAAAGATGTGGCAGATGAGGAAAGACAAAACTAATGCTGGCATTGAGGCTGAAAAGGCTGTTAACAATAGACTGTATGGGATCCTTTCTTTTCCAAAGTTCATCTTATTATCTGTACTTTGCAATGGATGAAGAACAGTTTAACAGCCTTGTCCCTTAAAGCTGGAACATGTGAGTGCCTAACAAGTTCATGGTTGCAGTTGGAGGTGTAGTGATACCGCTGACACTCATGTGCTTGTCTTGGTAGAGGTGGGGGTGATATGGAGTCTTCACACAGCCTGAGGGGATGTGTGGAAAAGGGGAGGAGGCGCCTGTATGTGCACAGTGGGAAATGATTATGAAAATGTTGGCTACGTCACGCTCCCTTCAGCGTGACGGATAGACCTGCTGCTGATGAGGTGCAGGGGCAGAAATGAAGATAGCGGCGAGGCATGAAAGTGGCGGGGGTGCGGTTTAGAGACATATGCTTATGAACTGCACACATGCGTTCGCAAAGATAGCAGCACACAAACATAAACAGGTTCCTGAGAGGGTGGTTGTCAGAGGGTGGGAACACAAGATAGGTTATAAAAAGGCTGTTGATTCGAGAGCTTCCTTGCTTCATCCTGCCTGGATTTTAATAACATCACTACAGATAAACTGTATGGTACAATTCTGTTCTAATCTTTAATCATTTTAATCTCTCCATCATTACTCATTATTAACAGGCTTGACTGAGTCTGTAAAGTGACCAATATTACTATAATGAGGCTCTTATTTAGCTGCCATAGGCTGTCTTTAAACTTGTTTTAACATGTTTCACTCGACACATCTAGTTTCACATTCTGCTAAACCAGCCAGGAAGGAGCTAAAAACACAGCGGGGGCTTTTTCTTCTGCTTACAGAGAAAATCACTGAAACCACTCAACGTGTGATTGTTGGAGACTTAGTTTCCTGTGATGCCTTGCTTCAAAGAAACAACCTTAATAGACGTTGCTAAATCGAACAAAAAATATCTAGATTTAAAAATTCAATAAAAAATAAATCAAATTGAACCTTCTTTTTTTGACAATGCTGGACAATTTTCTGTATCGACAGCACGGTCAATAGAGAAAAATACAAAAGGTTTCAGAAATAAACAGTTGCCAGTGATTAATCAGAATCCTAATTCCTCCCAAAAGACAAAAATATGAAAATATTTAGATGGTTTTCATTTTACTGCAGGTAATAATTCCTTTTGTTAGTCTTTCTTTCACCCAAAATCAGCTGGTCTGTGGGGTATATTTCTGCAAGAAACTGCACATAAATGACTTTCTAGGGCTTTACTGAGATCCCCAATAAGAAATACACTCACCGGCCACTTTATTAGGTACACCTGTCCAACTGCTCGTTAACACTTAATTTCTAA